TGGAGTGACTCATGCTAAAGTTCCACCCCACCAAGCCAAAACTAAGTTAACTGACCTTCTGAGAAATCAGAGGGAGAAAAAGAAGCCGAATCTCTAAGCAGACAGCAGGCATGGTAAAGAAGTACCCCCTGCTTTAACCTTTACAAGGAAAGTAATTTTCAAACAACCAATCCAAAATTCCTGCTTTTTCATCATTTTTTGTCCATAAATACTGCCCACATTGCACAGCAGAGCTCTCCAAACCTCTTCTAGTTCTGAGAGTTCTAATTCATAAATTGTCAATTTACTTTGTCTACAGTTTTTCTTTTCCCATCTCTAACATGTAAACAAAATAAAATGCAAAAATTAGCTTTTCTCCATAACTACTTTGATCCATTTGGATCCTCCATGTCATATATTAGATGGGAATTTAAATTAAAGGGGAGCCTCTCAACTAGGGATTATATTTCCTGACTGCTCTATCTTTGACAAGCTAAGAACCTAGCTTTCCATTATGAATAAAATTACCATTATCAAATGCTGAACCACGGGGCTTTGGGTATCCTGAGCACTTTACCTGGATTATCTCATTTAATGCTTATGAACTCCTCCCCTGCCCTTCAGCATAGTATTCGTACTTAGGACTCTCTGTTGCCTTGTTTGTAAAAGAGAGTGAGTGACTTGCTCACAATCTAAACCAGGCTTGCAGAGCTAGATCCACAACCTAGATCTGCCTGAATCAACACAGGTTCTTCCTGATTACATTTTACTATATACAACAGTCCCTGCATTCTAAGAATGGAGTGAGGATCAAACAATTTCATACAAAGTAGTTTTTGGAGAGAGCACAATATATTCAATGTTTGTTTGCATAACAATGTTAACATCCAAAATATGTTTAAATGGTTTTTTTCATTCTACTGGAATAACTTGCATCCCATATATTTCAGTATGTTATGTTTCCATTTTCATAAATCTAAGCCTTTTCTAATTTCCCTTGTCGTTTCTTCTTTGACCCATTGGTTATTTAGTAGCATATGTTTAATTCCCACATATTTGCGAAATTTCCCCAATTCCTTTCTGTTGCTTTCAGACTTAATTCTACATGATCAGAAAAGGGTTCTATGAATCATGGTTTTACCCTTCAGAAAGCAACAGTGAGTGCAAATCTTAATTTTAATCTAGGAAGAAGTAACACAGTGGTCTAAAACTGTAATTGGTAAAGCAGAACTCACAAAATCCAGCAGGGGGGATGTTTGGTCATTTCTTTGTGGTTTACGTGGCATCTTGTTTCCATGCTTCAACATGACTATCAAGTATCCTTATTTATGTCTCACTCCAGCACAGTGACGAGACCTTGTCAGGTCTTGATGCTCTATAAACATCACAGTCTAGCTATTTGGACCAGGTCAGTTTCCAGCTTTTCCTTTCTCATTATAAACAGAACGGCCATGTACATAATTTATTCAGCAGACTCTACAGAAGCTATGAGAGATGCAGGAAAATTCTGCATTGTACATTATACAGGCACCTAGCATCCCTGGCCTCCATTTACTGAATGGCATTTATTGAATGCCATTAGATACCCAGCATTGGGCTATGCACTGGAAACAGAGGTGATGGAGGAAGACAGCCTCCCTGCCGTCATAGTGTTTACAGACAACTGGAGACATGTGAGGTTTACTTTCATGCATCAATTTGGCTAGTTTCTAGTACAGTTATTTAATCAAACACTAATGCAGGCGTTGCTGTGAAAGTATCTTGTGATACGGTTAACATCTACAAAAGTATCAGCAGCTACCACCAACATGGTGTTAAGCAACCCATCCCTCCCCACGTTAAAGAAACACCCTCTGGGGAGAGCACCATGCCCAAGAGCACCACTGCTCTACATAGTCTAAATCCACCCTGAATCAGATTAAGGAAGGAATACATACTTTAGAGTACATAAGTAAGCACCCTCAAAGAACTATCTTACCAAGTTGTACTTTAATGGCTTTACATCAAAAGTTGAAAAAAAAACTGTCCAGACAAAAGGCTACTTATTTTAGGAATGATGCTGAGAGCATCACCCACCACAGCATCTGATGTCCTCTATACACAACCCCAAATAAGAAAATTGTGGAAGACAATGTGCCTACCTAAATACCTGTTTTTCCAGACTGCCTCACACCTGGGTGACACTTTGGCCAAGGAGAAGAAAGTAGAGCAAAGCCTGTTGTGATTTCTGAGAAAGCTTTGTTCTCAGATGCAAACGCCCCGTCTTTTTTTTTTTTTTTCCTTAAAAACAGATGTGTCATCTTCAGCTGTGACACTGATCCTGTGACCATGAGACAAGCATGGGGACAACAGCCAGATAAGGATGGTGAAGCATCCGGGTCCTGGATGGAATTGCAAAGTAGCTGCATAACACCGGCTGAATTTGACCAGCAATTGCCTTTCAGACTTCCTTTGTGAGAAACACACACAATTCTTTTTTGTTTAGGCCACTATTATTTGTATGACTTCTTGTTATTTGCAGTTGAACCAAGTCCCTGTAGAGCAAACAAGTTAGAGGAAATCAACAGGTGCAACCCACAGAGTGAATAAAAGACTTATGGGGAAAAAAAGGGTTTATGGAAAACATTTACTATTACAATCAATTAAAGTGTTTAAATTATATGCAGAGGAGGGATTCAAATTATACCTTCACTTTTCATAGCAGAAAGCCAGTAGTCTTGGAGTTAATAGGTCATGAAATTCTAACAAGTATAGTATTTAGTGATAAGGAGGTAACTTCCTCAAAATTAAACACAGAAGCAGTTGAAAGGTGTTTGTTTCTGGGATCAGACTTTTCTCTGTAAACACTTACTACTTGATTTCTTAACCATGTTTTGCTGTGTTTTTTTTTTAATTAATCATAGCAGAGAAAAATTTATATATATTTTTTCCTAGCACTAAATTATGACTTCTTAGGAAATGCTACTCTGCTTCCTTTCTTACCAAGAGTGATAATTTAAAGGTTTTAAGGAGTATTTCCTACTTCTCACAAGTTAAAAAAAATCATCAATGAGATTTTATTTTTAGATTAAAAAAAAAAGTGTTACATACAACCTTAGAAAGTATTTTTCAAAGCCAGGGATAGAATCTGGTTTCAATTTTCCACCAGTGGTTTTCCAACAGGCTCAGGAAGCTCCTTGGAAATCAGTGAAGGCGAAGCGGGTGATTTCATAACTGCTAGTTCTGCTTTCATTAGAAACTCTTCTGCTTTGTTACTAGGTTTTAATATAAGATTTAATTGCGGGGGCGGGGCAACTAGTTTGAAAAGTACGAAAATCATTATACTATGGCAAAAGCTGGTGGTACAGCTAATTTGACCTACAAATACATTTAGTTTGGCTTCACATGGTGTTTTCTCCTTTTAAATTTCATTTATAAGCCTATATCAGATTTCATATAAATATCCAGATTTTCCATTTCTCCTGAACAACTGAAATACCCAGCAACACAGGTCCACATCTGCAAATGGCAACAAATGGCTGGAGATCATAAGTTTCTGGTCCATTTGGAAGGATATGGACTCCAACTTCACTCATTCAGTCTATGTGGCCCCACCAGAATTGGGGACCCTACACTAAGGGACAAGGAATACAACTTCTTTCTTTGCAAAAGGAAAAATCATGGAAAAATGAAAAGATTACTGAGTTAGAATTTTAAAAGAAGTTTTGAACTCATGCTTCAGTTGTTCAACTGTATTAGTCATAATGGGCAATTATGTCATGGTATGCTGTGATGTGATGTGAACCAATAATCCAGGAAGCCAACTGACTTAATACACCAAGGGTTTATTTCTCAATAAAAGAAATATAGGTTTTTCTAGTATGTCCAGCTAGAGTATAGAGGGATTATAGAAGTCACTTAACTCCTCGACTGAAGCTCTACCACACTAAACTCTAATGGGTGCCACATAGGGGGAATGAAGAATTTCACATCAGTTTCTCCTTCTCCCCTAAAACACCACCATTTTCACTCACATTTCATTGACCATAGATAACCACATGGCCTCAACTAATTAAGGGGCCAAAAAAATGTAGAACTTTAACTCGTGGTCAGCACAGGCTTCATAAATGAAGGTTCAGCAACGTTGAGAAATCCTCAGAGAGTTTGAATTAAAGAGACAGGATCTAATTATCTTTAAACCAGCTCCAGGATGGCTTCTCCTAGCTCCAGGCTCCAGCTACCTATTATGGTAGCGAGGTTTACTGAAGAGGCCAGCGAGAGAGAGAGAACACGCCAGGGAATGGACTTTTATTGGGGAACAAAAATTCTGGGGAAAATCCCATCCAATGAAGATTAAGGGGGGCAGTGTCCCAAGGTCAGGTGCGATGGGTCTTCAGGGTAGTGGCCAGACACGCCTCCACACAGACAAGCCTTGGACCTGAGAAGGGTGGGGAAAGCTCTGGACACAAGGATGCCTCTTAGCGCCTCTTTCCCAGCCAGGGAGTAACTCAAATCACGTGTGAAGATGGCCTCCCACATAGTAAATACCAAGTATTTCATTTGTTCTCTTTACTACATGCAACCTTCTAAAGATTATTTTACTTCTCTAAACCTTAGTTATGCATCTCTGGGTCTTGAAGTCGTAATACATATGGTTTTTCCTATCTCTGGAGGTTATGGGGAGAATCAAATGAGAAAATATACAAAAGAACTTTGAAAAGCTCTGAATATATGGTTTTAAAGCACCAAAGCACTACCATGAAGTCAATGGGCCTTCACCTCTACACATATACACACACCCTTACCTATTTATTCAGAGGCAACTCAAAGGACAGACCTTCTACGGGATAGAGGATTTGATGCTTTCACTTTGTACCATCAAATTAATTCACCTATATCCAAGATTGAACCAGAAACGACTTAAAAAAAAAAAAAAACACATAATACCCTCAGTTTCTTTCAAGTAATTTTTTCAACCATGATAAAATTAATAAAGTGAGGCAGATTTTATTTCCAAAGATGGTTGCAAACAATATCTCCCATCCCACACACTCTTATTATACCATAAACTCTAACCCTCCTCTTATCAAATGGTTGGTTCTATGTAACCTTCTTTTGAACCCGGATAGACTACAGTAACTACTTTGTCCAAAAGAGAATAGCTGAGGCGATGCAAATTCTGAGACTAGTCATAAAAATATCATGTATTTCTCCTATCTCTTGGGTCACTATAAGAACCCAGAGCCAGGTTGTGAAGAAGCCCTCATGATCTCACAGAGAAAATACCCAGAGATCACAATGCAGTACTTCCAATTAACAGCCTAGCTGAGGCCCCAGATGACTGACTGCATCTGAAGAAAGGAAAAGACATTTAGAGATATTTATTCTAAAAATAGCAATGTACCCTGTTGTATATTCCTGCAATCTGTGCTTCCTTGAGCAAGTTGTTCAATAACCACAAAGATGGTTACATCATCAAAAGTATAATGTTTGTTGTGAGGTTTAAATGAGATTACACACATCAAATGCTTTGTAAACAATAGTTTTATACAAATATAAAGTTGTGCACTTTCCAAGCTATCACTCCAACACACATTTATTCAACTAAAACAAAACATCTTTAAACATATTTTAACAATGTACAAATACATTCATAACATAATCTGCTGATTAAGACTCTGCAACAAAGTTTCTAGTACCTACAACAAAATTTACAACTGCCTACAATAATTTGTAGATTGGTTTAGTTTACAGTTAAATATATTGCCTTGTTTAAGAAATATTATTAATACAAATGTATGGTTTACAATATCCCCATTATAGCAAGAAAAAATAGATTCATATAATGTCTTTAGGCATTTATTATGCCAAGTATTTAAATGATTATTCTTACTATGACATAAGAACAATATTCATTTAGTACTAAAAGATTTTATTAGTCCAGAGACCACTGAAGAGTTTCCAGGAAGTTCCAAAATAAAATCTGACTATCCTTTCCACGAAATAACTAGAACAGCAGCAATCCCTTGGGTATCCCTTAAACATAAACTATAAAGATACCTTTTATTATTTAGGCCTTAAGTAAAAAAATAAATTTTAGAAACTAGTTAACACTACCAGCTTGAATTTGGTTTTCCCTTGTGCATGTCTAGGGTAAGCAATTTCAACATGAAGTATATATTTAAAATTAACAGTTTTTTCTAATTTTTAACTCATACACAAGCCAAGTGTTTACTCTTAATTATGGAATCAACTTATTTCTGAAAATAACCTACAGAAATAGTATGTAAACACACATACCTTTGACTAAGAACATTCTATTTTCTATGGATCAAAATGCAAATATCTCTGTAACATGTAAACTAACACATTAATTTGGGATATATGGATACTTTACTATATGCATACATATGTACACCGTAAAATAAATTCTGACAATGTTCTTAATGATATCATACTTCCCAGCCTCAACTACTAGAAAAAATAAAAATAAAAACTTTGTTTAAAAAAAAGAAAACAGTTTTCATAGTAACTTTGTAAGTGAAAACAAAACAACAACAAAAAAACAATGCTCCTCTTTGCAACTGGACTGAGCTCTAAACARTTCATAATCAAGAATCTCTTCCACCATTTCCCAATATCACAGAAAACATAATTTTCTCTCTATTCAAGAAGTCTGTTCATTTCCGGTGTTCTGCAAAATAGAAAAAAATCCTTAATATTCAGTTATTTCACTTCATATATACCAGGGATTTCAAACCACTAAACCTAGAAAATATTGTACCTTTGTAAATAGATCCTGTTACTTTATTACATTGTATGTAATAGCCCACCATGTCAAAAAGTGGATATGTTACAGATTATTCCTTTTTTTTTTTGCAGTATGGGGAAAATGAACCCAGCAAATGCGATTATCCACTCAGATGTTCATCTTATCTCACAGAACAGAGTGCCACCAGGTGCCATGTAAGACTCTAACCCTATACATGTTATGCTAGGCACACGGTTCAATTTCACCTATATTCAAAATTCCCCTCCACCTTCAGACACATGGAAAAATCCCAAGGGGGAAAAAACTTAAAAAGCACACACATGAAAATTACCCTAAGATGGGCCACAGTGAATTCTTTTACTTGGGGCCAAGCAGAAATCCTTTAGGAAGAGAACCACGACCCTAAATAGAATATTCATTTTCTTGACCTCTTAAGAGCAACAGTATAGGAGAATAAAGAAAAATGAATTTCTTGTGTAGAGGGCTGGGTTCAAGCCCTAGCTCTGTACTACCTATTAGCTTTATATTCTGAAGTAAAACAATCTCAGGCTTTAGTTATCCAAAGCATAATCTCTGAACTAGAAACTTGTTAGAAATGCTAATTATAAGACCATCCACCTCCCTCCAGATCTACTGAATAAGAAACCTTAAGAATGGAGCCCAGGAATCTTTGCACTCTAGGTGATTCTGATGCCTGCTGGAATTTGAGAACCACTGCCCTATATTCAATACTTACCCAGCCTGCTGCACTAACAAATGTAAGCTGTGACTCATACAAAGACCCAGTCAATTTGCCCCAAGAGATTTAATCAGTAACTGTTTACCAATATGACAAATCACACTGAAAATCTGAATTTATATCCTTATATTGGGGACTGCAATACAATCTTTATGTTATAGGGGAGAGTATCATTCTCATATTTCAGTGACAATATGCCTTTTAAAAACCTCATTTGAGAAGCATTTCATAAAAATTAAATTAAAAAATTTAAAAAACCATTTCATTAGTCACTGGTCATATCCAGAAAACACTTACTTGTTTTAAAAACTGCTTTCCGAGATACGAGGTAGCCATGCTGGTTAAATTCTTCYGGCTGCCCACTTTGCACCTGATATAACCATACAGGTTGGCACCCTGTAGTACCACACCCATGATAACCACAGCCTGGGATCAGGGAAAAATAACACAATGGTTACTGACCTAAAATTGACTTTTCTCTTAAGTCATAAATGAGACAAGGCAGATTTATGGTGAGAAAGGAAAGGAAAAAGGAAGCAGGGGTTGTGCCAAGGAGCACGATCTAATATCAAACTACCAGAAGAGGCCTGATATATGTTCTGTACAAGGCAGTGGGTTATTCACTCATATTCACTCTGTTGCCACTACTCAGTTCTGTTGAACACAACTGCTACATATGCAAGCTCTATGTCACACCTGGTGAACACAGTGGAGGGGGACCTTCTCTCTAGGTCCTAAAAAAGGCATAAGGAAAAATAAGTGAAACTAGAAAAGACTAAAATGTTACTTGTTCCTTTAAGAATCACAAAAGAACAGTCAAGAAGTAGTCAAGTTCAATAACCTGAAAGGAGGCAAAAATGGAATCTCTACTCTATGCTAATATATGTGATTGGATCCTGGGCAAGTTGACTAGGTGACCTAAGGCAGCAACGAACCGGGGTTTGTTTTTGCCTTCAGAGCAAAGAGAGATGAGCAGGAAGAAGTATATTTCTGCAAAGCTGCTTATTCCTTGTGATCACATCAGGAATCCTAYAGTGACTCAGACCACTAAAAATTGAGAATAAGAAATTCACACCCTCTCTTTAAATATTTAAGGGAGAAAAATTAATTAGCACAATGTGAGGAAGCTTCAAAGTTAGGTATTCTAGAAGTTTCTCTGTAAAGAGCCAGATAATAATATTTTAGTCTCTGTTGCCACTACGCAATTCTACTATTTTGGCCCCCAAAAGCCACAGTAAATGTAAACAAATGGGCAAGGCTGTGTTCCAATAAAAATTCACAAATTGTTGGGTTGGATTTGATCTACAAGCCATAGTCAGCCAACCCTCTTCCATAATAAACAACTCATCAACCCTTTTACTATTAAAAGTATCATTCAGGAGATGTTTATATCTATGAAAGGCAAAGAGGCTAAATGAAATCTCATTTTCCAATCCAGACTTTTTTTTTCCTTTCGTCTTTCTTATTTGAGGTGGGATCTCATTTAGTTGTTCAATTGTCCAGGCTAGCATCAAACTTGCAATTTTACTTCCTTAGCCTCCCTCCAAATAGCTGGGATTAAAGGCATAACTCACTGTACCTGGCTTCAGGCTTCTTCTCTTTAACTCTTAACAAATAGTATAGCTGATTTTAAGCAAGTGAGAGAATTTGTTTTTTGGCAGTCCTGAGGATCAAACCCAGGGCCTTGCATGTGCTAGGCAAGTACTTTACTCCCCATTCTAAGAAGATTTAAATCTTTAAGGAACTGGTTCAAGTGTTCCTAGTGAAAAAGGTAGAGCTGGTACCTTCTGTTATAAGGTTGCTACTTATCTAAATAAACATACATCTTATTTTTTTTATTTACATGAATCTACTTTAACTTCCCGTGTTCCTCAATTGGAACACTCCCAGGTACATATATACCAACATGCAAGGGGCACCTGAATTCATACTAAACATGGTTCTGCTGAGGCACCAATTTTTATTCAATGGCAACAAATTTTTAAAAGTTAAAACATGCAGACTTCTGGTTTAAGATAGTGTAAAAAGTCAGACATGAACATTTCCCCATAAGATAGTCAGTACAGTACAAGTGTTAAAAAAAAAAGCAAATAAGTCAATACCTGTACCAGTAAACACAAAAAAGGACTGGTGATCAGAAAAAGAGGAAGTATGACACGGCTTTGCAGAAATTTTAAGGGAAATTACACTAATAATTACCATCCCCAACAAAGAGAGAAACAAAAAAAACTGAGGACATAGCTGCCCTAAGAAATAATGCAAAAATAGCTATGAATACAAAAACTCCCACCAAGCAAGGAGGAAATACCAACAGCTGATATTTCCCTGAAAGAAGCAGAAGAGAAAATACAGGAGGACCAGCAACCACTGACCATCTTAAAAACGCCCAGAAAGAGGGAAAAGACTGATGGAGAGTCTGGGTGAAGCCTCCTCCTGTCCTATGCTATGGTCTTAACCATAGGACCAAACCATGTTTCACATGGTTAGAGAAGTAGAAGCACTGCTAGAGCAAGTCTGGGCTGATTCTCCTGGATGGTGCTAAAGCTACAGAATCTCACAAATGATCTAAATAAAGYGGGAGTACAGAACCAGAGTAGGGTCCACAACAGCTCCACTCCAAAAAAGAAGGCAAAACCCAAGCAAGGCAGCTAAATTGTGTGGGCAATCCTCCTCAGGCCTGCACCTTCAGGCCACCAAATAGCATTCAAACTCTAGCTCAAAGCAGCAGCAATAGTTACAGAGAACATGAGAAGGGAGTCGAGGGAAATTCAATCGCACTAAAGTGGCAGAAAAGGAAGATCTGGACAGAGCTGCCACTATGAGTATCAGCAAAAAGAAAACGAGAAAAGGGAAAGGCATCTCTGCAAAACTTCAGGGGGAAAAAAAAAAAAAAAAAAAAGACAATTTAAAAAAAATAACACATTCTGCAAAAGACCAGTGAAGAATCTATTCTGAAAGAAGTATAGGTCATCGGGGGTCGCATTGTGGCTCTGCGGTAAAGCACTCACCTAGCATGTGTGAGGACCTGGGTTCAATTTCAGCACCACATAAAAATAATAAAATAAAGGTATTGTGTCCAATTACAATTAAAAAATAAATATTTTTTTAAAAAGAAGTACAGGTCATCAAAATAAACGCATTCCTGGGAATACTTCATCCTAATACTAAGATCCTACACATAAGAATTCTTAGCATGAAACTAAGACAATAGGAGATGAAAGGAGTAGGCAGAGCGAGGAAATACAAATACTCCTTTCCAGACCCCTAATCTAATGTAGCTGCTGCTATGTCTGAAGCACTCCACTCAATTCCTGGTATCAGTGTCTAACATCTCCTATTATGTCTTTTTTTTTTTTTGTCTGTAAACCCTTTACTGAAATATAAGCTCTATCAGAGCAATTGTCTGGCTTACATGGCCCCAAACAGTATTCAATGCCCAAAAACAACTCTGATATATGGTGAACTCTTAAAAATATCTGCTGCATGAATAAACAGAAAAGAAAAAGATGAATGATTAAAACAATTAGAAGGCAGCAGATGAGAATAGATATAAAATGATACAAGACAGAAACAACTGGTATCTTGAAATTAGACAAATGAAAAAAACTGAACATAAATAGATTTAAAAATTTAACCAAAGTCAATTTTCCTGATTCAAAGCAAAACTGGAGTCTGAAAATAAGAAGGAAACATAAGTTACAGAAAACTTAATATAGAGTGAGAAAGACATATCCTGGTTATGATATTTAAAAACTTCAAAAAAAAAAAAATCTTCAGAGCCAGGCGCAGTGGCACATGCCTATAATCCCAGGACAATCTTGAGTTCAAAGCCAGCCTCAGCAACAGCAAGGCACTAAGCAATTGCAAGGCTGTCTCTAAATAAAATACAAAATAGGGTTGGGGATGTGACTCAGTGGTCAAGTGCCTCTGAGTTCAATCCCTGGTACCATCCCCGCAAAAAAAAAATTCTTCAGAGAGAAAAATGATTCACTCCTCACACACAGAGTAGGTTATCCTAGTATTACAGTGTGGTGGATCTAGAATGTCCCCAAAAGGCTGTTAAAAGCTTGGTCCCCAATGAAACAGGTTAGGAAGTGATCTGGGAAAGTGATTAGATCATGAAGGCTCTAACTAACATCACCAGTGGATTGATCCACTGACAGATTCATAGCTGAYTGAATTATTGGGAGGTAGTAGGAAGAGTAGGAGCTGGGACCTAACTGAAGGGAGTGGGTCCTTGGAGATATGCCCATGGGGACTATATTTGGTCTGTCAGTCCATCTTATGTGTATGTGTATGTGTATATGTGTGTGTGTGTGTGTGTCTCCCCCTCTCTCCCTCTCCCTCCCCCCCTCTCTCTCTCTCCATGGACTAAACCTCTGAAACGGAAAACCAAAATAAATGTTTCTTCATTTGAGTTGTTCTCATATTTTGTTATAGCAACAGAAAGCTGTTTAACATACTAGCATCAGATTTCTCTAAAACATAAAAGAAAATATGGAAAAACTCAATGAAGTTATCTTCAAGAATAGTCCAATAAACTCACATTCTTAGATATGAAAAAAAAATCAAAGAAAAAGCAAATCTACATTCTTTTCAAAAGAATGTACTATAGCTAACCAAGCAGTAAAAAAGAAGCTGAAATAAAAGAACTAGAAGTGGACACTGAATTGATGTATTTAAAAAAAAAAATAGATCAAAAACTGAATAACCAATAAGAAATATTACTTCAAAGGGCAATTGTTCTAAACCTTGACAACACAAAAATATCATTGGAACAAACAATAAAGGAAGAAACACAGGAAAGAATAATAAGAGTGTTTATTTTGGTCCCTTTCTAAACAGTTTATTGGTCAATAAACAGATGTGAGTATATTACCTCATGTTATAAAACTAACCACTTGAAAGAACTAAAGTACAAATTTAATGGACAAAATTCAGAAATGAAATCATGAATGTTAACTTTCTTATCTTCCATATCAGGAAATTCAAAAATATTCAAAATTCACAAATTTTGAGTAAATTTCCTAATTCATGAAAGAGGGTTATAACTATATTAAGTAGTAAAGATGAATAACAGAAAATCAATAATAAAGCATCCAAAGCATAAGAAGGAAAGTTATGAATGTCACAAAGAAAAAAAGAACTTAMTAAAAATTGTAGGAAAAACATAATTCAAGCTAAAATTTATCTGACATCAATAAATGTTAAGTGGAAACAAACTCAATGGTTATAAGAACAAGACTCATAATTTGAGTCAAGTGTCAGACTGTATCTTCCAAAGATGGCAGCAAGAGTATTTCCTGTTCTACAACTCTAGAACTTTCTTAGTCTCCCAATAAGAGGTAGAGCCTAATTTATATTCCCTTGAATGTGAATGGTGACAAAGATGATGCTGTGATATCTCAAACTACGCTGAAAAGAGCAATTCAGCTTGCAAGCTGAACCACCAAATGGAATCCTGACCCTCCGTCCAAGCAGCCCAACTGCCATAAGGCCACCATTCTGTGAAGAAGTCCAAACTAAGCTACACAGAGGGACATGTGGGGAGGCACAAACCCTCATGAAGAGGAGATGTCTTATGTCCTCAAGCTTCTCCCACCACTATTGACTGCAACTGAGACCCCAAGCCTTAATCTCCAGAAGAACCCTTCCTAAGGTCCTCACCCAAGAACTATGAGATAAAAAGATGTGTTGTTCTACATCACAAAGCTTTTGGGTGAGGGCTGGGGATGTGGCTCAAGCAGTAGCATGCTCGCCTGGCATGCGTGCAGCCCGGCCCGGGTTTGATCCTTAGCACCACATACAAACAAAGATGTTGTGTCCGCCGAAAAACTAAAAATAAATAAATCAGCTTTTGGGTGATCCACTATGCAGCAACAAGTAATCAGAACAGGTTGCCAATCAACATTTTTCAGGGGGAAAAATACCCTACTATTATAGGCACTAATATCCTAGAAAATTGGTGGAATTGGGGTCACAGGATCTACTCTCCAATGCTTAAGAGAGTAGATTAAGAAAAAAAGCAGTTAGGAAATAGAACCTGGGAAATACAAGATGAAGCTGCCTATTCAAGATAGGTCTATAATAACAGCATAGTGGATTATTCCAAAGTTCTACACAGACACTTACCAACCATTTTACTCTGAAGGAGAAGAGAGCACTAAAGGCAAATATCACCCACAGTATTGGACAGGCAATTAGTCCTAAVCAAAAGATTCTTGATTCAGCTTCTGAAACAGTTTTATTCTCCTGAGGAGATGCCTACAAAAAAATTTAAAAAAAATAAATTCACTCATCACTGATCTAAGATTTATCAGTACAAAGTCTAACTTTAAAAAAAAAAAAGAAACCCCCAACACAAAGATTAATACAAACAGCTCAAGTCCCAGGTTAAACCAAAAAAMCAGTTAATGGCTCTACCAAAATTGTAATTTTAGGAAATGATTTTAGTATGCTTTGTTCTAGTTCCAGAATTTTGCAGATTTGGGCAAAATGGACAGTTTATCATGACTCAAAATAGTAAACAATTGTCTCTGGTAGATTTCTACTCGATTCTTCTTACACTCGTGCTGTTCATTCATGAGGAAGATTTGAATGATGTATTTTTAGACAAAAATCAAGGAAATCAAGTTTATAGTCATCCTTGAGATTTAAAAAGTCAAGTCAGGTCCACAGAAAAAAAAAATGAAAACAAGGGATTCTGAATAATGACCAAAATGTCTCAGCAAGTTAGGAAATTAGAGGGCAACTTTTTTTCCAAGGTAGATTTTATAATATTAAGGAATATGGAGTGCCACTCTCTGGTAAGTCTCACTTGTCAAGGCTCTTCCAAGCAGAAGGCAAGCAATTTAACAGGTACCATTTCCAAGAATTTTGTCCTCTGCCCCTCAAACTGATTTTTACAAGGGAACAGAATGTTCACTAGAGTAACAGACTAATCCAAAATAGACAAGGGTCCCCCAGGGGTCCTGAGGGCACAGACTTAAAAAAAGAGACACATCAACTGAGATTTTTCTATCGAACTACAATCCTTTTCTGCTCACAAGTGTCTTTGCCCATGGGAGCAGTTATCTGCTATACATAGAGGGATGAAGATACCCAGTATGGTGATCAATCTGGGGGTCATCAGAAAGAAATCCTTGATAGGCAGTTTGGCATGCTGAATAAACTTTGACTCAGTGTCCTCTTGGAGGATTCTGTCCTGTATACACCTTATTTTCAGTCTGAACTAGACAGAAAAATGTGTATGTTTTGGAAGGCCATCTGGTTTAGTACTGACATGGCAAGTGATGTGGGGTAGTACTTTTAATCTTGAATACTTAATCCTTAAATATTCAAATCTACACAGAATGTATTAGATGACACTATTAATAACAAAACAACAATTACAAAAAAAGGCAGCTTACCTTCCTGGACTCAAACACCCAATGACTCTTTCCATCCTCATCAATATGATTCCACCACCGAAGGCCTACCATCAGTCTACCTGTGACATTCTAGGGAAGATTAATATAAACACACACATTTTTAAATCATTATTTAAAAGCACTATAAAATCATACCTTAATGCAACATTTCACAAACAAATCTTCATTAACCTCCAAACATGCTCCATACATTCATTATTACCTCCATAACAGCCCGTTCACAAAGCTACATAATAGCTATGTATCAGACCTGGTTAAAAAATAAATAAATAAAATGGCAATGGCATAATCAACAGGAGCAGAATTACAGGGTAAGCAGAAGTCTATCCATAAATAATACCTTCCTCATTTCCAATTTCTTAATGTTTTCCCCTGCTCTTTGGCTAATGTGACCTACCTTTTTCCCATCATAAATATGTATATTTTAAACAGGACATTCCTAAAAATGATTTTAAGCACTGGCTTTCATTCGGTCCCTCAAATATACTAAGTTCTCTTCTTGCTTATTAATGAAACAAATTACTTTGATAGTTTTCCTAATGTTTTGTTTATTCAACAAATATTTCCTAAGCACCTAGAAAGTGCTGTAACAAAACAGCGACAAACAGGTACTTCCCCTGTCCCCATGAAGCTTCAAGGGAATACAGCCAACTGTGATCAGAACTGTGAGAGAAGTTTAGAATACTTTTGAGTATAACAGGGAATTGGATTGAATCTGGGTATCAGACAATGATTTCCCAAGGAATCAACATTTGTAATGAATAAGCAGTAATGTATCATGGAGGGTATGTTTAATTGGTGGTGTTCACCAATAAGATTCAGGATTTCTATGAACTCGGGTGGAAAAAAATATATATTTCTTCATTTTCATCAACCTCTGGCTTAAGATTAGCATACCTTTAACTTATAAAGTGTAGACCAAAAAAACACAAATGCAGGTAGAATTAACAAAACCCATATCTTTGTTACAATAAACACCAGATATTTTTCATTTTGTACTATACTTGTTGTAGACATCTCAACGTATTGTTTATGCTCATCACTACCTTCAAAATGGTAAGACCTGCCACTAGGTCTTACTATTAATGTGATCATAAAGTACACACTTCTAAATCAGAAATTTCTGCAGATGCTCAAGTCCCTTATATAAAATAGCACAGTATTTGTATATAACCTATTCACATATTCCCATATACTTTAAATTAGCTCATATAAGGTAAATGCTACATAAATCGCTGTTATGCTGTACTGTTTATGGAATAATGACAAGAAAAACGTCTGTGTTCAGCACAGATGCAATTATTTTTTTCTGAATATCTTTGATACAGAGTTAGTTGAATACATGCACATCCCATGGATATAGACAGCTGACTATATTTTCAATTAAGTGATTTTTGTAATCTTATGTATTTTTCTTTTATATATTTAAAAACATTATTCATAGCTTCATGACACCATAAAGAGTCCATAACACAGAAAAAAAGATTAGAAATTCCTGTATTAAAGTAATGCGGGAACAAAACAAGCACCCAGAGAGAGTAGTAGGTATAGCATCCCTAAGGAAGAAAAGTAGAATGTATTAAAACTTATGACTAGGGCTGGGGATATAGCTCAGTGGGTAGAGTGTTGCCTTGTATGCACAAAGCCCCAAGTTCAATCCCCAGCACCACACAAAAAAATAAATAAAAAATAAAACTTGATGACTAACTGGATAGATATGCAGTCGGAAGCTACTCCATATACTTCCATGTTCCATTTTCTAATTCTTTTGCTTTCTCTTATCTTTATTAGTTTATTTTTCTGAATTTCTCTCAGGCTTGTTTTTGTTTTTGAAACTTCTGGACCTAAAAGTCGATTATTTTCATTCTTCTCTAATAATACAAGCCTTTAATCTACTGACTTTCCTCTAAATTCAGTTTTAGATATATTTTAAGAGTTTGATATAGATGATCATCATAAGATATAAATAATCTATAATTCCAGTTTCATTTTTAAACCAAGATATTTAGCAAGTTAACTTTTTTAAAGAAACTCCAATTTAGTAACCTTTTTTTTCCCCCTTGGCTTTATTTTACTAGACCAGAAAATATAGATGCTTTCATAATTTATCTGGAATTTCTTCATAGGGATATTAACCAACTTTTGCAAATGTTCTACCGGCACTAATGAGAAGTTATTATCTCTGGACATACAAAGTTCCAAAAACTACAATTAAACTGGCTTTGTTAATTACTATCCAGATCCTTTAGGCCTTATTTTTTGTCACTTCATTCTGTCAAAAACTCGTTTCTTAATACTCCCATCACAATGTTTCCTTCATTTCCACCTAGTATTTTAATGTTAGTTTGATATAATTTTATTCTATGAATGATCTTCACTGATTCATGATTTTGTTCCATTTAGTGTTTTTTTAAAAAAATTTTTAATTCTTCTTTGTGGTTATACATGACAGTATAGTATATTTTGACCTATTAATACAAACATGGGATATATCTTACACTAATTAGGATCCCAGTCTTGTGGTTGTACATGATATGGAGATTCACTGTGGTGTATTTATATATATACAGGAAAGTTAAGTCAGATTCATCCCACTATTTTTCCTCTACCTGTCCCCCTTCCCTTTCCTTCATTCCCCCTTTGTCTAATGTACGGAATTTATATTCTTCCCCTCCCCCTTTGCTATGTGTACATATCGGGAGAGAACAAATATCCCATGAAGGACCAAAGGTTGCCTCTGGTTGAAAAAATAATTGCCCAGGAGCACCCATAGGAACCTCTGCAAAAAGTGGGTACTTCTTAAGTATTTGTATAGCAACTATACAAAGCTTTATGGAGAAATTATACATAGCACACCTGCAAATTACCATGAAGCAAAACCAGTGGTATGGATTAGAAACAATACATAAGGTCTATGGTTGTTAGTAACCATCTGTTTACCTAACTTCATAGTTAATAAAGGCTGTCATATAGCACAGACAACTCAGTAGTGTAATAACCTACATGTGATCAGAAGGTCTGAAGTAATAAAAAGATAACATCAATCCAAAATGCCTAATCTCATATTGTTTGCTGCTTATACATATTCAAACTCATATTAAATATAACTTTAATAAAAACAAACTTACCTTCACTGCCCAAAAGTCACATGACAACAACAAGATAATTGTCACCATACAGGCAATAAAGCTGCTGCTGAGCAATTCACAGAGAAGATAGACTATAATGGCACTGACTCGGAAGAACAAATGGAAAAATGATGCCACTGGATGTCTGGAAACCAAAACATAAGAAAGGCAATTACAATTTACTATAAGTACTTTCAGATTTAGATGACAAATGGTTCAGCCATGGCATAGCCATGAAGAGTTCTGTCAAAATAAGAGATAACTTAAAGCAGCAGTAAACCACCTACCTCTCTTAAGACCCACTATTTGATGAAGCCCTCTGTTGCAAAAAAAAAAAAAAAAAAAAATGTACTATGTAATCATAACTATTACGTCTATGAACATAAATTTTTATAGAACACAAAAAAGTAACTTTACCTAGCTTGGATTACCAAATCATGCCAAAACAATTCCTCCAAAATCACTTCAGGAATTAAGTCACTGTCAGATACAGTGTTTTCATATTTTACCAGCTTTAATTGGGATATGATTCATATATAACAACCTACATAAAAGTGTACAAYTTAATGGATTTTAGTATATTCACAGAGGTGTGTATTCATTACTACAATCAGAAAAAAAAAATCCTCTGGCAATCAGACAGCTAACCATCTCAGTCCTAAACAACCAAAAAACTATTCTTTGTCTCTACAGATTTGCATATTCTAGGCACATCATATAAATAAACCCATACAACATTTAGTCATTTGTGACTAGTATCTTTCACTTAGCATAATGTTTTCAAAACTGGGTAGAACTGCCGGGAACAGTAGCACACACCTATAGTAGCACACACCTCCAGCGGCTCAGGAGGCTGAGGCAGGAGAATCGCAAGTTCAAAGCCAGCCCCAGCAATGGTGAGGCTCTAAGCAATTCTGCAAGAGGCTGTCTCTAAATAAAATACAAAATAGGGCTGGGGATGTGGCTCAGTGGTTGAGCAGCCCTGAGTTCAATCCCCAATATCCCCCCCACAAAAAGAAGAATATAAATACGCGTTACTTATATAATTCTCAAATTTGCACAAAAATCAAAGTGTAACTTACTTATAGAAATTATGTTTTAAAATGGTGCATTCTTGGAAAAACAGCTAGCACAGAATTTAAAACTGATGAATATTCACTGGGGAATGAGATTGATCAAATATATTTTAAATATATATTCACATAATAGATTCTAATATGTATAATTACAATGCACCAATTGAAAGAACACCAGTATTCAAAAAATTGAACTTGCTAATTTGAAAACTCAGTATTAACATTCCATATGCCAATTATTCCCAAGAAAATCTGAAGTTATCTTTGTCTGACACTAAATCAAACTAGCAACATAGAATTAATAAACACACTGCAACCACTGCCTTGAATCTCATCAGCTGACACCAACATGGACACCACAGCACTGGGCACCAATACAACCCATCTAACTTATCCCCATACCGGATTTTGGATTTTCTTGGTCTATTAGTTGTCTCTTCTTCTGCATCAAACAATGAAACATCTTCAGTGTCATCATTGCTGTCCTAGGAGGAACATTAAATATCCATGAAGCAAAATGAAATTCAGTATTTACATTCCTACTATATACAAGGCTGATCACTTGTTAAAATGGAAGATAAAATTACACGGACATAACATCAGAAATTCACAACCTAGGAGACACCTGCAGACCCTCTACTACCCTATCACTCCAAACACCTGACAAATACCCCTGCATTCAGGAATCAACTGTCTCCATCTCAGCAGCTGGGAGAAATTATACATAGCACATATGCAAATTACCCTGCAGCAAAACCAGTGGTATGGATTAGAAACAATGGAGTGCAGATGATGTGCCTACAAACTTAACATTTATTCTCAGAACTCTCACAAGTGTCACAGAAACCTAAAGCTACTGGGAATAAACTCAATTTTTTTGGCTCCTTCACAAAACCATCTGACACATCCTTATTTCCATGACTCCTCACAATGCTATTATCTGATAATAGCTGGCTAAACCCACTATTTGTGCTTATACTCCCTTTTCATGMTTCCTCAGAAGCTTTCCATCATTTTATTTATACTTTCTTGTGTCTTTATACATTTTTACCGAGTCTTTTTAAGAATATAAACTTCTTCAAGTGCCACTTACAGCGCAAAAAAAGATTTTAAAAACCCTGATCCCCTGTCTTCTACTTTCCCACTGCACTCCTTTCTTCACAGATGTAGGATTCTCAAGAGTGGTTCATAGTCTAACCTATTTCTACTCCTGTTAAGCCTCAACCACAACCCTGCTCACTGTGCCTTCCTAGTGCCACTCACCAGCCTCCCTGCCTTTATTTCTAGTCTCATTCCCACTACTCCATTCTAGTCTCTTCTCCACATAACCCACAGAGCAATCATCCACCATGGAAATCATATCATGTCACTACCCTGCTAAAACTTTTCAATTGTGCCCCTCCACATACAGGATAAAATAACTTCTTCACATAAAGCACACATCACATGATCTCCTACTAATCTTCCAACAMTCTCTCCCACTAGATCCTGCAGCAATACATTTACTATATGGTCTCTCCTACCTTTCTTTCATATTTTCATTTTTTTCTACTCAAAAGCGCTTCCCTTCCCCACCTCCTCTCCATCTTGCAGTTATTAGTTCTGCATTCTCAAGTTATATTTACTATAGTAAAAAAAAATGTGTATAACAGATTTGGGGGTAAATTAAAAAGTCTGATTTTCAGCACATTAAGATATGAGTATAAGAACTATATAAAAAAATTTGAGAGGGGTAACCTTTAGTGTTATGAGCAATGGACTAACACATTCAGACTCCTAAGAAAATTCCTGCTGCTGTATGAAGAATCTGGAGGGTAAAGAGGGTAGGGGAAGAAATAAAAGCATAAAACTAGAAAACTGGTTGGGAGCCTACTCAAAAAATGAAGCCAAGAAGTAAGGGGCTGTTCCAGGGTAAATGCTGTGGAGATGGTGAAAAGTGGGCAGATTCCAAATACTTAAGAACTGACAGGATTACCTGATGGGCTAAATATGGAGTTAATATAGGTAAAATGTCAAGGAAGATTCCAAAGTTTTTGTCTGAATAGTTAAAAGGAGATGCCAAATATAGACTCTGGACACTCCAATATTTTGAGTAAAAAATGTGAGAATAAACAGTGGGAACTAAGGAGTAGTACTAAAAAGAGTGGTGGGTAACCCAAGAGAAGGTAATGATCTGGAAGGCCCAGGAAGTGTTTCCAGGAGAATTCAATTTTGTCAGATGTTCTTAACAAGTAAAATGAAAACCAAAGTGACTACTATATTTTGAACAGTTGACCTCAATAAGATCAGTTTCAGAACAGACGGGGAAGGGGTCGAAAAGCTGACTAGAACTGACAGAATGGGGTGACAGTTGAAAGGCTATGTGGGCATAAGTTTTTATTGTTGAAGACAGGAGAAATTAAAGCATGTTTACATGCAAATGTGAACTAGCTTATCAATTTGAGGGTGAGGGGAGGGGACTGGCAATGCAAGATAAAAGAACTGCTGCAACAATGCTTTGCAATGGGCAGAAGGGGATGGTCAAAAATAAAGCACAGACAGTTCAATTATAAAATACAAGTGCAATTATGGGTAAAAATGCAAATAGGTAGGCAGGTGGTATGAAAATTCTTTTGTAATTACTTCCATTTCTCAGTGAAACAAGAAGCAAGATTACCAGCTGAGAGAAGACAAGGGAGGAAATGTTGAAGGACCGAGAAAAGTTTTAGTGCACAAGTTGCAAAAGAAGGAGGTTGCTGGCACAGAATGCAGGGTTGTCTGGCAGCATGAAAGACTAATTTGAGGTTCACAATCACAAACTTATAAAGTAGAAACAACTGACATAGTTTTGTCTATTTCTTCAGCCTCATTAGCCTGGGTGCAAATTTACAGAGCTGAATTTAAATCACCACTGGATTTTCTCAAGTCACCCTGTAGTAGTCTTTTCTGACCATAAATCCTAGTTATCCTAACTTCAGATACACGCTATTTCATCACCTCGACTTTGCTATTATAATCTGAAAGTAACTTAGGTTATTTTACTTATCACATCTCCCCTCCCTACCTGCTTTATGCCTCATTTCCTTGAATCCACCCACCCGAACCTGACAATGCAGGAAAAGAAACCTATCTACACTTTTCACATCCCTATCCCTGGAACCCAGAACAGTGCCTAAGCTACAATTCCTCGGTAAATTGTGAAACAAAAGAAAAAAAAAACTAATATAATCTAAATGGAAGTACCCTATAAACAGTAATTTTTTAAAGGGGGACATTATTAAATTACACTTATTAATCTCCAGTCGAAAACCTCTGGACCACAATTACATTTTAAGGGCACAAACGCGATAGTCAATATTAATGTGGTAACAGCTACCTGAACGCAAGGCTCTGCCAGCGGCTCCTATTCCTACAGGATTGCAGGGCACCCCTACAGGGAAGGTCACAAGGGAACTGAAGAGGTGCCCGGAGGCCGCTCCCCTTTCACCTCCTCGCGTGCACGACGAAGGGCCGAGGAAAAAGACCACCCGCACCCCACCATACAGAGCATTTCTGCAGCCTAGCATCGGAACCGCCCAGCGCCGGGCGTTGGTTGAGGACCKGCTTCTCCTCTCCACACCCCCAATCTTCCCGAGCTCGGCGACTCCTGGGTCACTTCTTCTACGAGGGCTTCCGAGCACCCAGAACACTCCGGGACAATTACCCTCGGTCCTCCATTCCCTCCCACCCACCCCGCTCTTCCTCAAGACGGACAGCCGGAGGGGATACAAACACAACCGCCCCTGTGCGCCCGGCTCACTCCACAAACCCTCCAGGAGGGACCCCCCCACCCGCCAAGCCTCGGCCACCCGCTCTCCGCGCCCACAGCCCCTCACCTGAGACAACATGGCGACCGTGCGCCAACCCCACTTCCGGGAACCACGTCAGCGTACCAGCTGTCAAGTCCGATCTGCAACTTACGTGGCCTCTTCCCTACAATCCGGGAGGGGCCCATGTACAGCCCTAGCCGGACTTGGCTTCCCGGATACACTTCCGCTTCTAGGAGTCTCGCGGGAGGAGCAACACCGGGAGGGGAGGTGCAAGGGGTTATTCCGGGGCGGGGCGATCCGGGGCAGGGCGAGAAATGCTGGTGGGTTCTGGTCCGAGTAGAAGCAAAAACCCGCTGGGAAAGAAGCCCGTTACCACAGTTGGCGCTAAGGAAAAGTTGCGTGGTTTCTTAAAGGGAAACGTGTTTCGCGGCGATGAAGTGCCGATGCCCTGAGTGCAGAGGGCCGGGTTTTATTCCATGGCATTTAACTTCGTTGGAATATTTGACAGTGACCTGTATTTCTGAATAGTATTACTTTTGGGCTTTGAATTTTAGAAGCAATTGGAAAAGTAAAGGTGGCCTTGGGAAGGGATAAAAAGTTAATCAAATCAATGGAAATAACCTGATGACGGTTGAGGACGACGTGCGACCTGGCGTTTGGGCGCCTGGATTTCAGCCTCCTGCCCTTATTACCAATTAAATAATCAACCTCTCTGTACTTTTTTCCTTGATCTTAAAGTGGAAGTGACGATAGCATCCTTACCGGGTATTTAGTGAATAGGAGAGGGTTAGTGTTTTAAGTCCAGCCATTGATGGAATGATCTTGCCTGGACCTAAAGTTCAGGGGCCTTAAAAAAGTCAATTTTGAAACTAGAATGATGGCATTCTTTTGTCGGGCATAAGTCAGACTGATGTTGGAAAGTTCATGAGGTAATGTATATTCTCAGATGAACTTGAGGGACTTCTTTTCATTAAAACCATAAATGTTTACAAAGTTATTTGTAGTGCTATTTCAAACCTAATATCTGAATGTGAAGACACCTACCCCCCACCCCCATGCACACCTATTTCCCAAGGAGAGAAAGCTTGACAAAGCAACTGCATGCTTGCACATAAAGGTGGATAGATGACCTGTGTGTATCTAGCCCTCCATGGACATGTTTTTGGTGCCTCAAAATTGTGGGGTTTTGTGAAGTTGTCTTTGTCATTTTTACTTTTGTTATGCATACTATTTGAATTTATTACCATCATTTAAAAAAAAAGGGCATTTGACAGAAAAAAATATTTGAATTTCTGACTTTTCTTGAAGAAGCAAAAGATGTGGCCATGCTGAGCCACTGAGTAGGAACTGTCCCATATGTACAGGATTTGAGCTCTCCAGTGGGCCATTACTCCCAACCCTTGAGGGCTGCACTCCTCTAAGTTATTTCCCTGATCCCTGACACCACCCTCCAAAGTTTTAAGTAGAAACCTGAACACACTTCATATTAAAGACTCCCTTTGTACAAAGGATGTATGCTTAATTTTCTTCTGAAAGAATTCTGAAAAGGAAAGGCATGCAAATGTCAAATTGGTGAACGTTTACCTCTTTTAGATTCTTGAGATTCATTGGACTTTCATTAAAAAAAAAATGCCAATAAATTTCAATATATTATCCTGATAAATTCTATTGTTACACAAGGTAGAAATCCAGATTGGGTCCATGTTCCACAGAGTCAAAGAATGAACACCATGAATCCCAAGATAAGCAGAAATTTATTAAAGAGGTTATGGTTCAGAAGTGTAAGAAAGTTCCCAACAGAGTATGGGAGGAGCAAGAGTGCCTCCATGGTCTCTTGACATCCCTTCTTTTAAAGGCACCTGAGAAGAAGTTGACTGGCCCCCTGTAACCTGTCCTTGAGATTTTGTCATATGTGCATGCTCAGGCTGAATTGCATAGTTGTCATTTTTGTAAGAATGGAGCCTTTTGTTCCGTTTGGAAAACAGATGTTGTTTGACTTGCTAGAGCACATCAAGTGATGAAACATAACTCAAACGGTGGTCCTGGCGTCCATCCTCTGACTGACTCTTACCATTTTCCTACTCTGCCTCTTTCCTTACCTCACCATCATTTCATTTGATAGGAAGAATCATAGCATGAAATTGGTAGTAATGAGTATATCTCATTTCCAGTGATCACCTCTCTACCCCACTCRATGACATTGGACTTCCCTAAGTCTCGCAAAGTGGTTTCCAGTGGGAATGCAGATGCCAATATCTGCCAGTCCTTCTGTGTTCTTACTGTTTTAGCAATCCTTTGATCACAAGAAGATAATTAGGAGCTTTCACATTACTTGCCAGGGAATTAAAAAAAAAAAAAAAAAAAAAAAACTACCCAAACCTACCTAGTTTTCTGTTTCTTTAAGACATTGTAATTTCCTGAGGTTGGTTTAGATAAACATATTTTGTCCAAGTTCAGGGGCTGCTGTTTTCCCTGGCTTCATGAAATTATCAATGGGCAAACCTTTGACCTTCCGGATCCATGCAGCTTTCCTGGATTTTCCTGGATCATCTACTCTTGTGGGTTCGCTGGCCTGATATTCCTTCATCATGGCTTCCCCATACTCTTTTTCCTCTTTTACCGTCAACAGCATGAATTCAGTGTTCATTCGAAGGGGATCCAGGGTTGTGTAGAAGCGAGGCCTTTCTCTCTGGAGAGACAGGGTAGCTGTGCCCAGTCGGGAAGCCAGCAGATGATTTGGCTTAATGACCTGCGTGCTGGTCAGGGGCCCCATACTGGGCACTGCCCCTTCAATTGAACTGGTTATTTGATCTTCACTCTTTAATCTGTCAGAAAACCTAGAGCGGATAATCATGGGCTGGGGTACGGTGGACAGGACTCTGGGACTATGCAAAGATTTCTTCAAGTTGGGCTGCAGTTTCTGGACTTCAAAGGGAGTACTAGTTTGTTTCACATCTATGGGATGATTGTTGATTCTCAAGCGATCAACTGCATGTTGGATTGATTTTCCTTTGAAATTCAGGACCTTCCTTGGATATGAAATTGAAGGTCCCCAGGCACTAAGGACTTGGGTTTGGGGCCTATGGGGATAGGCAAATTCCCCAGAATTATGGGCTCTTTGTAGAGCACTGACAGTCAGGAGGAACCGGTCAGGTGAAATAGGGGTTTTCCAGGACTTTGACTTCAAGCGACTCATCAATTCTCCACGAGTTTCCAGTTTTCCCTGTACTTGTACCTTTTCCACATCATCTTTTACAAAAGGAAAAATGGGAAACAAAAGCAAAAACAGCATTCCATGAAAAAATTAAGTATTTGTACAAGAAAGTGAAAACCATTCTAATTACTACAACACTGAGGTCTTATTGCCCAATAGGCATGTCATCATTTAGACAATTGTCCCCGATGATATGATGATATCAGAAATGATGACACCAGATATCATGTAACAAAATGAGTTCTTAATGAATATGCCAATGCTTGTATAAAGTGTATATTAGCTTCTGGATGTGCATATTTTGAAGTCAACAAATGTGATTGCACTGTTCCACACCTTTTCAAAATTTTCTTATGGGGAAGTTTCTCTTTTATAATTCCCACAAAACAGATCACATAAATTTATAATAATGTGTCTAATGTTTTTCAACAATGATTGTATTGCCAACTTTGATCTCTACCTTATTAATCAGATTTGATTCCAATTGATTTGAATTTTTCCTAAAATCAGACCTGCCTTCAAAGAATATGTCACTCCTGGTTAATGCAAAACATCACAAAGTGATAAAAACAGGCTCTTAAAGAGAAGTTCCCCAAAATTTCCAAACAATAACAGCAGGTTCAAAAGCCAGTGGCTAGAGCAACAGAATGCTTCCAGTATATCACTTTAGTGTCAAGATCTCCAAATGTCTAAAACCACTAAATTACCAAATATGTCTTTACAGATGAACAAACCTATTGTATCTCCCATGTGGGCTTTTCATTCCCTATAATACCTCACAGAAACACTGGAAATATCCTCATTCTCAATTTTTAAAAAAGTAGAAATTAAAAAATAGAAATTATTTGTCTAATCTGGCAGCTACCAAGGAAAAAGCTCTAAACCCCAAACTACACTAGCACATAAAATGTAACCATGTACTATGCATATAGTTACCTTGGTCAAACAGGTTTTATCCTCAAGTACACAGATTAAGATGGAATGAAACTTCAGGATTGTTCCCTGATCTTTACTTTGTTAATTAAGCAATTTTTATTTAAAACATATGAAACTGAATTTTTCTCCTTTTATAAAACAGGGATGATGGTAAGTTCATTGTTCATTAACTCATCTTTTTTCACATAATAATACATGGTGGATCTCTTTCAAAGTCAATACATATATAAATCCTCATCATAAAATTTTGAGTTATCATGTAATATCCATAGTATGGATTTTTAATTATCTACTCATCCATCATCCACTGATGGACATTTGGCTTGTTAATGCTTGTTAAAGAAATGCAAATACCACTTTTACTTATATAAGCAAGTACAAGGTGATAGATAACACCCAGAGTTGGTATGAATGTAGGGGGAAGCTCTCATGCTTAGTGGGACTATAAATTGATACCAAATTTTTAAGGAAAACCATGGCAATATATAGTTTTTTGGGGGTGGGGGTGCCAGGGATTGAACTCAGGGGCACTCAACCACTGAGCCACATCCCCAGTCCTATTTTGTATTTTACTTAGAGACAGGGTCTCACTGAGTTGCTTAGCTCCTCGCTTTTGCTGAGGCTGGCTTTGAACTTGTGATCCTCCTGCCTCAGCCTGTTAAGCTGCTAGAATTACAGGCATTTTCCACCATGCCCAGCTATCTTTATAGTTTTTAAGTGCACTTATCGTTTGGATCAGCAATTTCACTCCTAGGATTTTACCATACAGGTAGACCTGTGCAGGTACATAGACAGGTATATATAAGGATGCCCTCATGAAATTGAGGTGTTTTCATCTTACCTTAAAACTGGTCTCTGCAGGGAATTTGTTTCAAATTCTATTATACTACTAGTCAAAAAAAATTTTAAAGCATCTGAAATTTTTACCAGTGTCCTTCAAAAACAACAAGGGATAGTCTAGTGATGATGTCCAGCAATACTTCTTAAAATCCCCTTCCCAATTTCTGTCTCCCCCATCTCCTTATCTCACATACCCACCACCCACCCAA